AGTATTTAACAAAATCTGATTAATGGCTAGTGAAAATATCTAAAGGTTTCTTTGTAATTATAAACAGTTTTTCTTTTGGATATTAAAGTTAATTAAATATTAGAATTTAATATCAGAAGCAGACTCAACTAGACTGTGAAGGTCATGGAAGATGAGGTGAATACCAAAAGTTATCATTGTACACTCGTACAATGAAAATCATTACATTTATTCGCTCCAGTACCACCTACGAGGCACTCTAGACTCGCAAGGTAAGTAATTGAGATCTAAAAACATTACGCAGTTCGACAAGATACTGGATTCGTCATTAGTGAATATTTGGCATATTTTTTTGGCAAATATTGGCATTTAAACAATCTTCACTCCGATAATTCCGGTGGACTTCTACATACAGTTGATTTTTTTAATATGTAATTGTTGGTTTGCATTCTTATGTGGATGGGATGGTGCCCTTTAAATTATGAGCCTGTTGGATGACGTTGATGAGCTTAGTCAATTTAAACTAGTGGAGAACGCTCCTACATTGCTAATTGTTAACCACTTTACTTATGTTCATATTTGTTGTCCATGTGACAGATTACCACATAGCCGACATAACAAGCTAACCTGTATTATGGTAATACAAATCTCAATGAACGAACACCGACTATCACCATCTCTATTTTGGACCAACAAAATTATTCTTTCTCAATCTCTTGATTACCGTCAGAGCAATCTCACCGAAACATTCAATTCAACATGTGTTTATGGATTGAACTGTTACAGAATATAAATTTCAACTTACTTTCTGTGCTCTCCGTTGATGCCTGTGGAGCGGTTGTGGTAGCTTCTAAATAAATGTAAAACATTAACACAAAATATTAAATTTATCATTATTTAACGTCTATTAGTTTCTATACTTCTTGACTACTAAGGATACACTTTATATATAGAGATTTAAGTTAACAAGTTAACAATTTAACTTTAATTTAAGGTGTTATTACTTTTTATTATCTTTTTTATCCCACTTTTTTCTTAGTTAACGTTTTAATTTTACGATTTTATACTATTTCAGTACGATCCCACTGTACAGTAGCTCACTTCAGGTTTTACTAAACAGACTTGCCAGAACAATTCTGGGTGCAGATATTAGAACACCTGTTGTTGATTTTATAACACCAAGTACAAGTGTTAATTAACGATTAATTTAATTAACTGCTACAGTATGTTCCTATTGATCATTATCACAACCTAAATACAGAAAGAAAATCTAAAACACTTTGGTCTTGCCAAAATGACGAAATTAATCAAGTAGAAGAAAATGTTAATATCGTTCTGTCAAACTTAAAATACGATTAACTTTTCGCAGCAATACATTCAAATACGTAAAAATCTTCCAAAAATCTATACTTAAACAATTTCAGTGTTTCCGAAGGTAGCCAGATATAAAGAAAGATTTCTAACTAACCCCAGTTGTTTTAGCTTCTGTATAGTTAAAACAAAACTTAGAGAGATGATCATCGACTTCAGGACCAAACATAAATTTCAACCAATAATCATCAAAAGAAAAGAAATTGAAATCGTTGATAATTATAATTATCTGGGCATTAATAATCAATTCGGCTGGAGTGGCCATATTGACCTAGTGTAAAAAATTGAATCCTAGGAAGTACTGTTTCAGAACTTTATTTAAATTTAATTCCAGTGAACCTATGTTGCTTTAGAACTTTCTATAGAGCTGTAATATGTAGTGTTTGGACGTATTGCCTTGGTTGCTTGGCTGGTAATGCTGCCAGAGTGGATAAAGGACAACTTGAAACTTTCATCCGTCGGGCTGGTAAAATGATTGGTTTAGATTTGCCCTCCATAGTGAGGTGTGTTTAGAACATCTTCTGAAAAACTTTGATCGGATTGAGTTAGATCCCTTTTATCAGGTTATTACAAACCAACTTAATCCAAGCGGTAGAATGAGGGTACTCAGCGTGAAAACAAATCGCTAAAAGCTTCTATAATTCAGGTAGAAATTGTACCATGATTAAAAACTATATTACTCTTATTAGATTACGTGGCCTAAAAAAGTTATCAAAACAGGGTATAGAATTGGAAAGGTGCAAAATTGTAATTCTTAATCAGCCTCTTTCCCACCTTGTCTCTCTTCCCAAATCATTTTTTTTTTACGGCACCGACTCTATTTTGACAAACGTTGACAAAATGCTGTCAAAATGCTCAGACCGCACTGACTCAAATAGAAAAGCTCACTTAGAAAGTTAGACCTTATTCTTTTGACCCCCGTACAGCCCATCGCTATTATCATTAATTGTTGAATTGTTTAAAATAAAATTGACTGAAAAACGCTCTTTCAATGGGCAGCAGCGTATAAGCAAATAGATGACATAACTTACCTTCCGACGAGAAACCAGTCAGTAAAAGTAATACAACCATAAGAGAATGTGAGATTATACTGTACATCATTGTACTGTATAGCTAAATGTGTCTTCTGACTGTTCAAAATGAGGAGAAACTCAATGAGGAAGTACATATTCTACCTATAAATACATAAAAAAAATTAGCATAAAAATGAAGCATTGAAAACAAGTCAACTGAGTCTTTCATAATAGCTTACAAAATAGTATATAAACTATAGTATTGTTATACTAAAAATAAATTAGTCGTGATATCTCAAGCTTCAATAATATCAAAGGATTTGGACGGAGTGGAATGTCTATTGTTGACAGTAACATACACCTACTGGTTGTCATAAAATTCTGTCAAGTGTGAATTGGATATTGTACTTGGTTGTCGTGACTACGATATTTTTAGGGAAATCTACCGTATTTGACTACCGTCGTCAATTTCCTATATAATTAAATAATGAATAGTAGGCCGCTTATCTTTGTGCGGATCGGGGCAGAGTTGACATGGGGCCGAGTTGACTTGAGGCCAAGTAGATATGGTGCCAAGTTGACTTGCGGTCGAGTTGACTGGGGCCGAGGCGACTTCAATTCGATTTGATGTAGGCCTAGGCCTACCATATAGACTTTCTTTAGCAATATGTTCTTACCATACCGTTATTGTTATTATTATTATTATTATTATTATTATTATTATTATTATTATTATTATTATTGTTATTGTTATTGTTATTGTTATTGTTATTATTGTTATTATTATTATTGTTATTATTATTATTGCTAATATTATTATTATCTCAAGCAAATAAACTGTTGCTTGAGATAATTTAATTACAATTCTCATGACGATTATAATAATGATCTGTAGGCCTCATTATTTTCAAAAATAATGTACTAAATAAATATAAAAGTACCCCCAGGAAAAACAGATTGCTAGTCAGCAAAGGATTATCAATTAAACACCAACTCTATAAGCAAGTTTCTAATTCAAACACCTTGGAAATACATACTCCATAAGTACCGAAATGCACGCCATCGTGTCAGGATTTAATATTTCAACATTAATTATGTCATCATCAGGAATGATAATGACATAAATAATGTCGAAATATTGAATCCCAACACGATGGCGTGCATTTCGATACTTGGAGTATGTATTATACTATCTTACCTGAGATTAATCAGTGGACCTTTCGGTTTTTTAAAATACATTTACTGAATAATATGTGCTTTGCAACAAGAACTGGAAGGTGCAAAAGAAAAAGACAATGAATCATCTTTTCACACAATTCCTGTCACACAAAGCAATAAATATCATCATCACATTACCATTATAGTCAAAATGAAACGCCAACAAATTTCTCATGATCTTTTATCAGGGATCTACTTAATATCCAGGAAAACTTAGGCCTCATTATAGCTTACTAAGCTTTAACTATATATACTACCGTATATTATGATCAACAAATCACAACTTTTTTCCGCATTTTCTTCACTTTTTATTGTTATTAATATTAATATCAATTATTACTATTGTCATCATCATCATTGTTATTATTATTATTACTAATAGTAGTAGTATTATTAAACAAACATTTAAAGAAACTTGCAAAAGGATAAAAACGAAATTGAACCACAGTATCGCATTTCTATGTTAAAAGACCTGGCCTGAGATTTATGGATTTAAGATTTTTTTAAATCACGCTTAGGCTTGTGTGTTCTATTAGCCCTATGTATAATGTGTACTGATGCATATTTACATGCTTAGAAGTATTCATTTTAAGTGATCCCAGGAAAGAATTTTTATGGGCTCAAGAATAAGCTTTAAAATTTTAACACTGTGTGCAAAGGGGGGGAGCCGCGGCTCCCACGGCTTCCCCCTGGATACGTCCCTGCCCTCGCTTGCATCACAGTACCTGTAACTACTGTACTGAACTAAGCCTAGCTTAAGCCTCATGTTTTTGTGGAAAGTTAGATAGTCGTTATGTACCCGACAGTCGGCTGCCTTTATATCTTCACTTGTCTTCAATTTGCATTCAAAGGGTACATTGCTGCATAGCCAACTGTCAGGGATATAGTACCTTCATATAACTACTCATACAACAGAAAAAACGTCGCGTGGAGTTAGTGAAAAATGGAGATCTAACCCCGGTATTCTTAAAACGAACTTTAGTCGTAGTTCGAGCTAAAACTTTAAAATTACGTCATTTGGTATTCTTAAAACAGACTTCGACTAGCACTACGACTAAATGACACTTCCGGAGGCCGATTTTTTTAGTCAGCCCTAGGGTCAGGCTAAATCGCCGACATGAAATATTTACCTCACTAAAAACGTGTTTTTTGTAACTCACGATAAAGTGAAACGAATAAAAACGATAGTATACGTAGGTTTGATATGTCTTCGGTGTGTTAAACAAAAGAGACATCAAGTTTAGCTTCCAAAAGGAGAAATTAACATGTTTCACTCGCCGCATGCGATAGTTCCTGATTTGCACGTAATCCCCTCGCGTTGCAATCACCTAGCTTCACCATAACAACAACAAAGATGGCGCCGCCCTCGCTCGGGCTCAACAATAATAGTTCTCCAAAGAAAGCAAATTTTTAGTGTCTGTTCAAATTCTCTATTGTAATATGTTAACAACTAATATAGTTATTATTATAGATAATTAATTAAGGGATTGATGGTCTATTATGAATTATGAGGAAATACGTTTTTGAACCACAGACGGCACGCTTAATATTCATCCGCGTTACCGGATCTCTAAAATTTCGTCTGCTATTAAAGTTAGCCCTTTTCATTGGTTAGTTCGATAGTCGTGGCTTGCCAGTCGTCTTCAGTTGAACTAAAACCCAGGACTTTATTTAGTCGTAGTTAATACAGACTTCGACTACAATGTTTGTGAATACAAATTGAAGTTGAAGATGCAACTAGCACTAAATGAAGTTCTAGTTCGAAGTTCGACTAAAGTTTGTTTTAAGAATACGGGCGTAAATGAAAAAACGATGTATTTCAGCAAGTATTAAAACCTTTTTGTTTTATTATAGGCCTTCTTCAAAATACCTATGCCACAGCAGTTGATTTTGTTTTGCCGTAAAACCAAAATAGTTTCATCCATGCCGACTTGCCGATCAGTTAGCGTGAGCCCTGACTGAACTCTGCAGAAACTTCACATCGAACTCGCATCGCGAGGTAAAACAAAATGTCGGAAAACTTTTTCTTTGACGCATGCGCATTTGCATAAATGTCTACACACATGCACACACTACACACAAAGATACCAGAAACACACGATAGAGCTCGCATAGTAAAAAATGATGCGGAAATCGTGCCCGACGAAGGCGGCGCCCTTCTTTTTAACCATGCAAGTTTTCTATACTTCGTGCCCGACGTACAGGGCGCCCTTCTGTTACTAAGTACAGAGCCATAGATAGAAAGAGTTGCGACATTGAGAATTTAGAAGCCATTTTGTGTCATACGCGATGCGCGTTCTGTGTCTAACATGATGTGTGTTCCTGTGTATAATATTGTATAATACATTTAGCGGCCTCCTGTATAGTTTAATTTCATTTAATCTTGTTAGCATTCGAATTTCATGTAACTATTTATAGATTCTTTTTAATGATTTCACTACTTTATATCCAATTTCATATTATAAAATAATACTGTAATAATATACTATTTTTAAGCAGTTCTTTAATCCTCGCCGATAGACCAAGAGAGCCCCTCGATGGCAAGCATTCTTTAATTAGGCAATCCTTTAGTAGCTCCTATTATTTTTGCAAATAAATAATATGTGACGACCAGCAAAAATTAATTAAATATGTATATCAAAATGTAATTTAAATCCGTCTAGGGTATATACAATTTTGCTCTTTAAATTTGAATATGAGCGAGCCCTATACAAATCCTATGTTATTAATTTGATTATTATTATTTATAAATATTAAAATAGTATAGGTCAGTTGGCCGCAATATATAAACTGTGCTTTGCTGTAAATGTTATAAACTGTAAGTGTTAAATGATATACAGGATCTGTGATATATTCAACTTGTGTAATTATCGTACATTTTATTGTATTAAAAGTCTCGCCTCTATTTTAATATTGTATTATGGCTGTACAGTATGTTACTTTTATAAACACACTGCAAGAGCGTGTCCGCTGTTTTAAAAGCGTCGTTTCCAAAATAAAGTTATAATAAT